ACAACGGTACCTTATGATCAAGCAGTTCTACCTCTGGCTATGAACCCAACAGAGGTGAGTGTTTATGTCCACCAAAAGACACTTACGAGAATATTTGTAGCAATTTTATTCATAATAGCCTTAATTGAAAATAGTTCAAATGTCAATAGTGAAAAAGATAAAGCAAGGGTTCCCATGTTCTCATCAGGTTCAATAATTTGCTATAATGGCTCACTGAACTCAGGGAAATAAATACTATTACTGGTTTATTATACAGGATACTATAAAGGATACAAATAAAGATGAAAAGTTACATCAGGTGAGGTCGGGAAGGGTCCTGAGCACGGGAAGGTCTGTCCTCATTGAATTTGGGCTGTGCCACTCTCGTGGCACATGGATATGTTCACCAACTTGGAAGCTCTCCAAACTCCATAGTTTAGGGTTTATATGAAGGTTCCATTATCGTAGGCAGGGTTGATTAAATCATTGCCCATTGGTGATTAGCTCAGTCCCCTTCCTGGAGGTTGGGAGAGGGTGGGGCTAAAAGTTCCAACCTTCTAATCACATGGTTGTGATATGGCAATCAGCCCCGATGTTAAAGTTATCTAGGGGCCCATCTTGAGCTACCCCATAAACATAAACTGAAGTATGGTTGAAAGGGATTTCTGAATAACAAAAAAGCTGCTCCTCTCACCATTATCACTTAGGAAATTACAAGAGTTTTAGGAGCTCTTGTACCATGAACCAGGGATAAAGACTAAATACATATTTCTTATTATGTTGTAATGTCACAATCATAGAAGTCAGAATAGTAATTGTTCTTGGTGATTACTAATAGGGAAGAGAACCCAAGGAAGCTTCTGGTGTGCTGAAAATTTCTATATCTTGACCTTGGTGATGATTATACTAGTGTACACATATATAAAATTTCATCAAGTGGTACATTTAAGATTTGTGCAGTTTATGTAAGTATACCTCAATATAAAGAAACATAAGTTATTTCACCTGGTTCTTCCTCTGTACTTTATAAGAGACAATCAGGCTAGGAAGGGAAACATTTTTTAACCATAGCCATAGGCTGAAATTAACCTGAGATGATGACACTGAATTCATCATTTTGCCCTCAGCTTTACAAACAAAACAGAAATAATCTCCAGACATATGAAAATCAGAAAATTGCCTTTCTCTCCCAATTCTCCTAACCTCGCCACACACACTCACACATTTGTTCCATCACCAAGTCCTATTTATTTTACCTTATAAGTATTTTGAGTCAGTTCACATCTGCCGATTAACCCGAGATTAGTCCAAGTCTGTCACCTATTGGTTGCATCATTTGTGAAGGTCTCCTAAACGGACCATCAGCATCCATTCTGACCTCTTTTGTTATGCTTTTTTAATGCAAATTTGAACAAGTCACCCCCATTCTCACCTCCAGGTTAACTTTCTTCAGTGTCTTTCTCTTAGACTTTGGATAAAGAGAAAATCCTTAATTTGGCCTATGAGACCCTGCATGATCCCTCCTAACTTGACTCCATCCATATCTCATACCATACTATTCCTCCTTTTTCAGCTTCAGTCATACTGGCCCTTTCAATCTTTCCTAAGCAAAATGCTCCCTCCTGCCACAGGGTCTGGGAACAGCTTTTCTGCCTCTCTTTTTGTTGTAATACCTAGTCATCCTTCAGATCTCTAAGTTAAACATTACTTCCTTAGCAGAGTGTTCCCTGGCCTCCTTGACAATTGTAATCCTTCTCCTCCCCATGACTCAGTTTCATAACACCTTGTATTTCTCCGTTACAGTACTTAATAAAGTTAGAATTTTACATTTATTTGTATGATTATTTGATTAATGTCTGTCTCCCCCTCTAGAATGTGTGCTCCTCAAGGGCAGGGACTATAGCTATTTTTGCTACCATTATATCTCTAGTGTCTAGCACATGCTAACACTCAGCAAATATTTGTTGACTAAATAGATAAACTAACAAATGAATACATTTTGAAACTTCTTCCCAAGATTAAGAAATGTCCCTTGTTTGCCCACTCATTCCAGCATCTAATAAGAATCATTCATTTTTAGTAAGTAATTTCTTGGACTCAAGCATCACCTTTTCTGTGACTGGTTCTGTCCTACCATCACTCATCTTTCAGTTTGGCTGAGATACTCTTCCTCTGTGCCTCCACAGGACCTTTTCATGGATAATTTGTCACACTGTGTTATAATGGTCTCCCACTATGTCTGTCTCTCCCACTAGCTTGAGAGCTACTTGAAGGCAGAGGATACCCTTATTCATCTCCACATCCCTAGTGCCTGAGAAGGCACCTAGCATATTTTATGCATTCCCTAAATGTTGAATGATTGAATGAAAGGTAAGTCAAATGTATGTTTTATAAAGTCCTCTAGGTATGTTCATGGTAGGGTTAACAGTAGATATAGGGAAGAGACTATCATAAGAACAATGCTGCACTCAACTTAGCCGTAAACCTAGCTCTCAACCAAGCCCTAATCTTAGCTCTAACCCTACCCCAATTACCAACCCTAACCCTAGCCCTAAAAAAAAAAAAGACGACTAATGCTTCAATAACTTGCTTCCAGATTCTTGGGTAAATCTATTTCCTTATTTTAAATAGCTTTTTTTCTCTAATTAAAACATAATATATACTCAAAGTAGAAACTTGGAAAGCAAGGGAAGAAAAGAAAGACACAAAAGCAAATCCCATAATTCCACCCTCCAGATAACCACTCTTTACATCTTAACGTGTGATCATCCGATTCTTTTTTTGTATTTAACTGTATCTGGGTCTATATATCCATATATAGTTCTTTTTGTTTTTAATTGAAGTTGTTAGTTTACAACGTGTCAATTTCTGGTGTACAGCATAATGCTTCATATATAGTTCTTTCCAAAAAGATTTCAAACTATACTATTTCAAAGTTTTAAATAAAAACCCCAACAATTTCCATCTTCTTCACTTCCACCCCTCCAAATCAGTCTTCGTAACTATTCCATCACAATGCAATGTGCTGCAGGAAGTCCATCAATGGGCAGGGGAACCCAGGACCTCCTCACCTCTTACCTTCTCTATGTCTTGGTCTTGCAGGAAGAATAAATAACAAGAAATACTATAAAATACTTTGGACAAATTGAATTGTGTTATACATTCTTACTAACAGTAGTTCCTCTTGTTTATTTGCATAGATTCTTTGGAACAAACAAAGCAGATGTTGCCAGAACACATTTCCCTTAATGTGTTGGCGTTAATTAATTATGCTTGCTGGCAAAAGACTCAGGAGGAAAGCATTTCTGTTAGGTAAAGCATTCAGGATTTTAATTTATACAAACCTTAACAAAATATAGCAAGAAAAGACCTGGAAGACACAAGAGCATATACTGGCACAGATAGTAAGTGCTTAATAACTGCTCTCTGGTGATGTAAAGATGTTCGAAGTCTCCAGGGCATGTGAATGGTAACTATTTCACCCCTGTGGAACTATTTTTCAGATTCTGAGGCATAGAATATTAAAGGTAGAAGATATTAAAACAGCTCATCTCATTAGACTCACACTTTTATAGAAAACTGAAGCCAAAAAAGTCATGTAGGCAGACAGCATATGAGAGATAATTGGAACGGGGGACCTCTGCTATGTTTTCAACTCTGCCACATTAAATATCTGGGTCCAGTTGAAGTTGTAACTGGTATTTACTTTAGCATTTTCCTAGTGTTCTCACATTTTCTTCTTATTCAGAAACTGAAATATTTTATCCAGAACATCAACTACTTTAAGAGCAGAGATTCTGTTTCTGTATTTTATGTATAATTTGACACACACTGATAGAAATTGTATTAATTACAGATAATTTCTAACCATTCAGGAATTGATAGTGGGTAAATTATCCAGGTTCCTTACTTTCTCTTCCTTCTTGTCCTTAAACAATCTCACTTTTATTTGCAATCTCAGTAAGATTAGAAAGGAAAGGAAGAGATGAAACTTTTCTACTTACAAACCCAAGCAATTTATTTGGAAAAAGAAAAGAGAAAAATGATTCATTAAAAAATATGTTTCACGGTATCTACCTTCTTCACACTTTTTCCAAATGCCTAATTGGGGGTTAAATATAAATATAAGAATCTTAAAAGAATACTGTGTACAATTTTGTTGAAGATCTTCTACCAGCTGTATCTATTGCCTCAAATGCAAGGCAATCCTGATATAAAAACAAACACGCAGGCGTCAACTAATGATAGAAAAATAAAATGACTTACAAAGTGGAACAAGGATTCTCTTATCATAAGATAATTACATAATAACATTTTTGTTCTGGTAAAATAAGTAACAAATATCCAGAAAATATTGTTAAAACTGAGTTGTAAATGCAATAAATATTTTTGTGATTTCCTTCCATCTATGGGTGTGTTTATGTTGTGAAATAAATGGTAGATAAAAATTTCCCCTATTGTTTAAACTTAATGTAATATTATGAGAACTTCCCCATGTTATTTATACATATATATATATTTTGGGTGTTTTTTTTGCAGGGGGGAGGTAATTAGGCTTTATTTATTTATTTATTTATTTAGTGGAGATACTGGAGATTGAACCCAGGACTTTGTGCATACTAGGCATGCACTTTACCGCTGAGCTGTACCTCTCGTATATTTTTTGAAAACATAATTTGTAATGCTGAAAAATAATTTAACAAAAGAATGTACCATAATTTAACTATTTCATTATTGTTGGATTTTAGTCTGTGTATCAGGCAGAGGTCTCTAGAGAGAAAGAACCAGAGGAAATACATATATACATATATATATATATAGTATAAGTATATTAATATATAATTATAATTATATATATATAAATCTGAGAAGAAGAGTGTGGGGAAACAAGTCAACATGTCTCCCTGAGAACAAGAAAACAAGAAGTTCCCTTGTGGGGGCCTGGGGAGCGGCACGGAACTTAGGTGTTTCCTGAGGGCAAGCATTGCGGGTCTCTGAGCCATGCAAGAGCAGAGAACCGCTCCTGCACATACACAATGCCTTTGCCTAAGGGTGTCATTTAAGTTTTTGTGACGTTCGCCGGCCCCTTCACAAAGGGCCCAGATGGAGACATAAAGATGATTAATACTGCTTTGCTACGCTTTGAACACTGGGGGTTGTAGATTACTATCACTGCATTGAATTATTCAAAGTTATTTCCTGCAGCACGATGACAGTAAATACGATGCGAACCAGCCATTCGAGGCTCTTGATCCTTGAGATCTTGAGTCCCCTGGTCGCGTCTTTGACTCTCTGTGTGATTCTTATGTTCTCCGGCACCCGTCCAAAAGCAGGAACCCTTGTTGCGCTGGAAGCCACAAGTGGCGACCAAACAAGGACCTGAACGGAGGAAGATTCACCGGAGTGAAACCGAAACTTGGGAAGTGTCGGAGAGCCCCGAGGGGAGAAAGAGGCCTCAAGAATCCACTGCCGGTAAGGATTGTCTCGGGCAGTTATTCAGAGTAATCATGGGAAATGGACAAAGCTCAGCGCATTGTAGACCCTATGTGTGTCTTCTGAGGCAGCTTCTCAAGGCAGGAGGAGCAAAGACCAGTGAAGGTCGTATCCTAGAATTGCTAATGGTTATTGACAAGCATTGTACATAGTTCCCTGCTCTCGGTATTTTGGATTTACGTACTTGGGAGAGAATGGATGACGAATTGAAGAAGCTGCATGCTAAGGGGGTTTCTAGTCCCGTCTCTATCTGGCCTACGTGGACTCTGATTAAGTCATTCTTAGAGCCCTTACAAACTCAGGGAAAGCCAAGCGATAGTTCCGATAATGAAGAGCGTGAGCCTGACCCTCGCGGTCCCGAATATGCCATACCAGAAGGAAAGGCGCAACCTCTTGTGGCGATCGCCGAGCCTGGGGAATCGATGTACCCCGCGGCTCAGAGAAGGGAGGAAGAAAATAGTTGGCCTGCCCCTCCTCCCCCTTTTCCTATCCCCATGTGTCCTCCAGCTAACGGAGAATCAGGACAAATACAACCTAATTTATATGGCAAAGGAAATAGCCTCTCCTCGGTACAGCAAGGAATACTGCAAGCCAGAAGAGAAGGGGATTCGGATGCATTTAAGATATCAATTCCTGTGACTGTACGTGAAAGAGTAGCCCCTGGGGTGGATCCTAAAACTCCTCGGGGTGTTTATGAGGCTGTTCATGAGCCCTTCCCATTTAAAGTTATTGAAGAGCTGAAACAGGCAGTGCAAAATTACGGGGTAAACTCCCCATTCACCTTAGATATTGTTCAAAATGTGGCTGACGGATCTTGCTTCATCCCCGCTGATTGGCAAGCTTTGGCCCATACAATATTAGCTCCTAGCTCAGTTTCTGCAATTTAAGACCTGGTGGGCTGACCACGCAGAAACCTTGGCTGCTCATAACCAGGCTCGAGGCCTTCCCATTTTTTTCGATCAATTAATGGGTTTAGGCAATTGGGGCCATGTTGCTGATCAACTTCCTATGGATGATCTGGCAGTAGAACAGGTGAGGGGATGCTGCTTGAGAGCTTGGGAAATAATAGCGGCGAAGGGACAAATACCCACTTCCTTTCAGAAAATCACCCAGGGACCTAAAGAACCTTATACAGAATTTATAACCCATTTACAGGAATCAATCAGGAAACAAATTAGTAATATTGAAGCTGTAGACACTTTTTTACAACTTATGGCTTATGAAAATGCAAAGGAGGACTGTAAGAAAGCCATTGGCCCTTATAAAGGTAAAGACACCTTGAATGATTATATAAAATTATGTCAAAGTGTGGGGACAGAGAATTTTAAGGACTCTGTGATGGCACAGGCCGTGGCGGGATTGAAGCTGGGCCGCTCCTTCCCTGGAAAACGTTTTAACTGTAGTCAAACGGAACATACAAAAAAGGAATGTAGAAAGTCTAAACAGAACAAACCCCCACCCAATAATAAGGTTAAGGGTGATAAGCAGCATGGTCAATGCCCTCGCTGTGAGAAAGGCAACCATTCTGGGCAAATCAATGTAGATCTATTTTTCATAAAAATGGGATTATGCTTCAGGGAAACTTCAAAAGGGGCTGGCTCCAAGCCCCACAACAGAAGGGAGCCTTTCCCCCTCAGCTGGCCTAGAACCGAAACTACACTGCAGTGTCATGGAATTATCCCCAGCCACAGCAGAGAGTGCAGCAGTAGACATCCCCTGCCTAAAGTCATTTATTTTGATGCCTGGAGAAGAGCCCACTCTGATAAAAAGGGACATTTATGGCCCTTTGCCCTCGGGTACAGTGGGTTTATTATTGGGAAGATCGAGTCTAACCTCTCAGGGTGTCCGAGTTCATACCAGAGTGATTGACAGTGATTATATGGGTGAAATTAAAATCATGATGTCTTCCGCCAAGCCATGGAAGGCTGAGGCGGGAGATCGGGTTGCTCAGATTTTATTATTACCTTTTTGTCCTTTAGGAAAAAGTGATAAGCTGCAAGGTGATAAAGGTTTCGGCATGGGTGAGGCAGGGGTGTTTTTAACAGAAGAGATTTTGTATTCTCGCCCTGTCTGCACTATAAAAATACAAGATAAAACATTTAAGGGCCTGATAGATAATGGTGCTGACATTTCTATCATTAATTCACGTT